TTAATCGTAATATTTCAGAAAGAAACAATAATTGTTTTTTTACTACACTTTTCTAAATTTAAACGTAAATTTAATTTCTAAACCTGTCAAATATTTTTCCATGATTACACTATACTTATTATCTGACTAGGTGTTCCCTGCGACTTCTCCCGCATGTTATATAGAGTTTTAATTTTTTTGCGCGGAACCCTAACTATTTTTTTAAATATAAGTAGCCTAAGTTACTCCCTATAACATCAGCTATCTGCCAGTGAAAGTCCCGTCGAAATCGGTCCAGCCGTTTCGGTGATTAGCCGGAACAAACAGACAGACATACAGCAGACAGACAGACAAAAATTTTAAAAACTGTGTTTTTGTTATAAGTTCCCTATGAACTTTCATATGCACTTAGTAAAAAGCTGTTATTTTGACATTACAAACAGACACTTCAATTTTATTTATTTGTATAAACATCACAGCAATTTCTTGATTTATTTTTGTTCCTTACCAATCCACTGCTGGAACTTGATCTCATAAAGGTTAAAAATGTAAAAAAAAATATTATCTAAGATCCGCGTGATAAAATAAAATATGTTTTACATAGTTTGAAGAGTGCCTCCCGCCCTCCCTCAATTGCGTGCACTATCCCCGTCACCACTAATCCCAACACCACTATACTGGGAAAGACTCACCGCCGACGACAATACAACACGACTTTCATCTCCAAACGGGGCATCCCCTCATGGCATAATCCTCCTAAGGATTCGCCGTAGCCACTACGCTTGGCTTGCCGATCGATTATCACAGACCCAGACGTCTCGCATTATTAATGCTGCTCCCACCGCTGGACTGTTAAACTCTAAATAATAAAAAAATAAGGTCTTCACATTCGCCTGCCAAGTTTGACTGTATAGTATATACTTAGTATAAAATATAAATAAATGACAGTTGCCTTCTACGAGCTAATGAAGTTTAAGAATTATGTAACATTATAAAAGTAAACACTTTTATGTATACGTACTACAAGATAAGTTTTATTCTTAAAGCAGAACAAAAATACCACAAATGATCAATATAAATTATTAAGAATAACTCAAAAACTATTGGTCGGACCTTAATCAAATTTATACGGGACGAAATTTATGAAGCACCAGCTTTAAAATAAAAAAAAAGTATCTTCGAAATCGGTTCACCCAGTAAAAAGTTATGAGGTAACACACATGAAAAAAACATACAGTCGAATTGAGTACCGTCTCCTTTTTGAAGTCAGTAGAAAAAGGTCACAGCTGTGGATCGCGCGGACGCGGACGCGCAAGGGGTGGTGGCGCGGCAGATATGCCACGCTGTTGTATTTTCATTTACCACAGTTACTGTTTTAAGGCAAATACGAAATAAAGTTACATACTTACCTGAAATAAATTTCAAATCACGTTGACAGAGTGCGCACATAAAAATAATGATAGCGTTTTCTTAATCACATTCAACAAAAACTACGTTTTTGTCAAAAATAACGTTAGCGGCTTACAAAACAAAGCACTAGTCTTCTCGCCTGCTCGTAGTCGACTAAAGAAGTTGCGGAGAATTGACCGTAACTTAGTGTGCAATGTATTGGTACTGTAATGTCCATGTAGTGTAGTAGTTTACATCTTTAAGAAGTCTTTGTATAAAAGCGTTTTATATATCTTTTGTTTATAATAATTTTTTTATAAGACTAAGTGACAAAGGCTCTCTGTCCTTCATCCTATATCCACCAGGTGTGCTTTGCGATGTGATATAGAAGAAGAAAAATATAATATATTATACACTGTAAATTATGCTTGTGTTTCAGAATTATTGGACTGCATACGAGAGATTCACAACATAGTTAATAAAGGTAAGTGGCACACAATTTGTTTAAATTATATCATAAACCTATAAATGACTCTAAGCTGGACACAGGAGCCTTACAGTTCCTCACATTTCAGAGGGATTTGCAGCAAGAAAAATAAAACGTTGGCGAACTTTTCAAGTCCATTATGTACAGTAAAAACCTAGCCCTTTACTAAATTTCGCATACGGGCGCTCGCTTACTTCTTCCCCTCACCTAGCCTGCCCCTTTTCAATCCTATTGCCTCCTCTACACTACTCGCAAAGTAACTTTGACGAAGTGCTCGTCGAAGTCTATCGCAGTCCAAAGAACGTGACTACACACTCGTGCTACTTCGCGAAGAGCTCAGTCGTCTTGAGTCGCCCGCACCCTTAACATGAATGACGTTCAAGAGGCAGCTGCTATAGGTACCTAATTGTGTGAACAGTACGACGTTAATGCGTTAACTAAATAAATAATGATGTAAAAAGCTACATATTTAATATTTATATATAAAAAAAATATTCATAACTGGCGTAAGCCGACTAGTGTAGTGAGACGCTTCGTGTAACTTCGGGGTACTTCGTGAAGTTCTTTGACTACTGGCGCAAAAAAGCGACAGCGATCGGAAATCGCCCGAGGCGAAGCGAGATTGGACGAAGCGAATCGAAGTACCTCTCTATACTATTCGCCTCGTCCAACTTCGATCTACTTCGCGTGTAGTGTAGAGGAGGCATAAGGCTTACCTATAATGACGGTCGGATGAAGGACATACTAGGGATGGGCAAGTGGAAAAAATAAATCGTTATTTATCGCATTGATGTGTTTAAACAGCATCGATATTTATCGTATCTTAAATATCGATATATCGATATATCGTCATGTTTGCATGATGTAATAAGGTAAGGACCAAAATTTTATAACTGGACGTTTTGGCGATAAAAAAAAAGAAGACGAGAAGAAGATATAGGTTTCCACATATTTTACCTCCACCGCCGAACACGTCGTAAATCAGACTTAAATTGCAATAACAATTGAATGAAACTAATTTTTTACGGATTTTATCGCGTTTAATTTAACTTTTTAATTCCTTATGGCAGAGGAGTCACAGACAAGGTTGGCTACATCTTAAAACGAGCTTCCATTAAAACATACTTCAAGCCGCTGACGAAGATTAGTCAATTTTTACCATCCGTCAAGTGTCATATCCCTCTACAACATGCAGGAGTGTACAAGCTGGATTGTGAATGTGGTCTCTCTTACATAGGACAAACAATATGATCTATAAAAACCCGAGTGAAAAAACATATAGCTGACTTGAAGCACCGACGTTCCGGGAAGTCTGCAGTGTGTGAACATATTCAAGATCGTCCCCGCCATTACATTAGATTTGATAGACCACAAATCCTCGCAAAATAACACCGATTCCTACCAAGAACGATTCATGAGGCAATATTGAAATTAAAAAACATCCTAAATTTAATAGAGAAGATGAATGGGTGCTGCCATATGCATGGGATACTATAATTAATACAAATTAAATCCAAACCCAAGCATACCACTGCAAGACTTCAAGATACTGTAAGCTCATTCTGCGTAGATCGGACTAAAAATTATACTCAAAAACTGAAGGTAGCCGGGCTAACTGTGACAATTATGAGCAGTAAATCACCCGAAATGTCGGGAATTAAAAAGTTAAATAAAACGCGATAAAATCCGTTAAAATTAGTTTCATTTAATGTCTAGTCTTCGCGTAAATATAAGAAATCATTTTGCAATAAAAATTTCATTGTTGCTGGTGGTAATTCAACCACTAATTTACGTCATATAAACTTTTAAATTTCTTCTAATTATAATTGACTTCCTTGTTAGTCTAATGACCATAAGTGCCACTGTTGCTCATGTCGTACCGAGTTTAATGGGGCTGGGTCGAGTTGGAATCAGTTATTGAGTTTTTCCGGTCGAGAAATTCTCAATGGTACCCCGTTGTCAGAAAGTTAGCGGTTCCTCAGCCTCCATGAAAAGTCCTTGATCCAGCCCCTGATCTCCCTCTGGTCGTTTTCTTCATAAAATAAGGGTGACAGACTAGCACACAGGCCAACTGATGGTAAGTCGATGCTGTGGCCCACAGACATTTAAAAAACAAGAAACGATCTATAAGTATCCTTCATTAAGAATCAAAATACAGATGCGATGTCACCATTGGAGACTAAGATGGAATGCAAATAGCAGCTTAATGCTGCTGTGTTTGATATGGTGAGTGTAGAGAATTTATACGTGGTAGATCCATGCTACAGCTATATTAGTAGTATAGTTGTAGTACGAACGGGTCGGCTCGATTGCGTAAGGACCACGCTCTCACAGAATACCAGCGTAAAATAGCAGCTTAATGATGCTCTGTATCGTATGGTGAGTGTAGAGAACCGGAGACTCATTTTACTGGATACGATACATTCCATCTTAGTCCTCACGGGTGACGACACATCTGCATTTTAATTATTTATTGAGGATAAATGTAGATGTCTATGGGCCACAGCTACCACTTACCATCAGGTTGACTGTGTGCTCATTTGTCATTTTTATTCTTTAAAAAATGCTTTATTACCAGTGAAAAAGATTTTTGGGTTTCTTTCTATTCTCACCATATGAAACGTAACGAAACACAGCACTATTAAGACTTTCCCTGTCCTGCATATATGAAATTTTGGATTATTTAATTATTGCATATATATCGCGGGCAGGAAATCTGCTAATCTTCTATTTTACGCTGGTGTTCTGTGAGAGTGTGGTCCTGCCCCGGCTGCTGCAGCGTGGCTCTACCACGTATAGAGGTCGTGTATGATTTCAGTCCAATGGGACTATGAGAGTGAGTCACTACTCGTACACTATAATCCTGCCCTGCGCAGTTGGCTAGCGCGGTCTCCTCTGAGACTGGCTACCGTGACTACAATTCGGTCAGGAGGTAATTTAAACATTCTACAATGCACATGAATTTTTCGTCGCGAAGTATTCCTTCACCGCTATACACGTGCTAGGTCAACACTTATGGCAAACAATAATTATTGGTGCTGAAGATTGAACTTGGGTATCGGTTATTGAGAAAAAGGCAAACCCACCTACAAAATTGCAACGGCTCTACAATAATTATTTATATTTTTGATTACGATAAAAATGTCTGCTATTTGTTTCAGACGTGAATCATTTCTTCGAAGTTTTTATAACGCTTAGCAAGAGATTCCGTGAGTATCAAAACTTTTTCATTAATTATTATAACACTTATACATACACGCCGTAGAATAGAATATAATAATTTTTTTGGAACGAAGTTCCTTATCGGACGGTACGGGTTTGACGGATGGGAGCTAGGCTACAAAAAGTGTAAGATTTTTTTCGTCACTACCCCTTGTGTCATAGTGTAGACGGCCTTGGCGGCGAAATAAGGAAGCGAGATGGAATGATATCCATCTCCCTCGCACTTTTTCTTATCTTGCCATGAAAGAAATATTATTTTATTTCAAATGACGCTTCATTGTAATAGACTCTAGTAATTCATTTATTTGTATTTGTTACTCAATAATATAATACTTCGTTCCAACCGAGTGTTCCACGTCTCGCGTCTATCTATTTTAACGTCTGTCAACGTATTGACGTTTTTTTGCGCGGCACAATGCTGATTTGGCCAATGAGAGTACAATATAGTATTGTTATTTTAAATGAAAACAGATGACTTTTACTGTATCCCAGTTATTTGTGGCATATTTTAATATGAGGTATATTTTAAAATATGGACGTATTCATAACATAATATTTGAGTGTATAACAACTTTTTAAATATGTCAGTGAAGGTATTTTGCGATTGGACAAATCACAGGAGCCTATAAACGCGGCACATTAGTATTTAAAAATAGGTACAAAGTTCAAAATCTAAAAAGTCCTTTTTATTTTGATTTCACAATTCAGAAGTGTAAGTAGTACATAATTAAGAATAAGAATTTTGGTAAATTGTCAAATATATGTTGGTTCTTAGGCGAGTTTTTACAATGTCCTTTAAATTTTTAAAATATGGACTGTACTTACTTTCACTTAGGCTCCTGCAGTCCATGGTCACGTGCAACCGACTTCAAACAAAGACGGCTACAGATATTTTATCACCTCTGAGGACTATGATGGAATGCCTTACAGCGTGTAGTTATACTGACTCTCCATACTCTTCACACTGGAACACAGCCAGTGCAAGCACTGCTTATTTACGCCAGGAGACTCCTGCTTAATTAGCCAGACACACTCCTAAACAGAAATAAAAAGTTACAGCCTATATACGTTCCACTGCTGGGCACAGGCCTCCTCTCATTTCTGAGATGGTTTTAGCATGTGGCGGCGCTGTGGTCGCGCCACTAGCGAAACACACCGAAGCCTAAATCGCGCTATCAAAGTTCTGAACGCACGGCAGTATATATCGAGGAGCTCCGAACTACCACTCGGAGCGTTGGCCGGCAGGGGGTCTATCCTTTTCTTTCCACGGCCAAAAGGTCAAGGAAATGTCCGGCGCGCTACCCAATGCGTGTTGGCGAACTTTACATGTCGTCGAAATATTTTTTTCTTGTGATTTCCTCACGATGTTTTCCTTCACTGCCGAGCACGTCAGCACTTAAAATTTCAATTAACAATTTCATTGGTGCCGGGTTCGAACCCGGTTTGCTAGCGTACTGTGAAATTTACAGCGGGTGCTTATCCCACGGACTACCACGATTTCACAGCTAACAGAAGTAAAGTCCATTTCAAATATCCAATTAACTGTTTTATTGGTACCAGTGAAGATCGGGTTACTTAAGTATTAGTATTTAATATCTCGTTTTTTGTTTGCAGAGCTGGAAGAAGCAATATTAGTCCTGGAGAATTACACTGGAGCTCCGGGTAAGGCATCACCACAACCTACCGCTCGTCACCCCTTTTAAAGCCCACTGTTGGACGTATTTACTTTTACCACGTTTGTAAGCTGTATTGAATGGATGTATAGAAGATAATCTACCAGGAGCACATGACCCACTGAAAGGTGACATTATTATTTAGGCAACAAATCAGGAGATGGGCAGCAGCGTCTTCCTAATAACGACTCAAAATAATAAAAAACTGCGGTTGCCAATACGCTTGCCAAACGTACCAATCCTTCCCCTATGATCTAACCTATGGGGGAGGCCTATGGTCAGCAGTGGACTTTTGTAGGCTGTATTGAATGGATGTATAGAAGATAATCTACCAGGAGCGCATGACCCACTGAGAGGTGAAATTATTATTTACGCAACAAATCAGGAGATGGGCAGCAGCGTCTTCCTAATAACGACTAAAAATAAAAATTTGCGGCTGCCAATTCGCTATAAGTATCCCCCTATAAGGCAATCTATGGGGGAGGCCTATGTTCAACAGTGGACTTTAATAGGCTGTAATGGATGGATGTATAGAAGATAATCTACCAGGAGTACATGACCCACAGGGAAGTGAAATTATTAAATGAACAGTAACATTACAATTATGGTAAAATCCCCCCTATAAGGCAATCTATGGGGGAGGCCTATGTTCAACAGTGGACTTTAATAGGCTGCAATGGTAACGGTAAACGGAATTTGTTGTGTACACACCATACGATGAAGGCGTGTTGGTGAACCCTCATACTGGTAACGATGCTCAACATTACCAAACCTTGAAACCTTGGTCCAGTGTTTTTGTATCTAATTACCGCCATTTTTTCACCTTTTACAAAACTCCTTCCACCGCATCCATACACTAATTAAGTACACTCATCACCGCTTTTCGTCCCGTGGGTGTCGTAAGAGGCGCGGAACGACAGGAAAATCTTAGGGCTCCCCACAAATCGACGACCATGTTCTTTCTGTTCGGCTCGAATCACTAGCGCTGCAAAGAGATGTAGCATTCTCAATCACATTTACCATGCTCAGGAGAATTGTTCGGATTAATTCCACCCACCAAATTACAACATCGCATAAGATGGACTGGTAGAACACAGTAATGGATGCAGGTGGGTCAAGACCGGGCTTTTTGACATATAAGGAAGGCCTATGTTCATCAGTGGACTTACGATGACGTGTCAATCAAGCGCTTTTTTTTTCTTGGGGAAATCCTCATGGATACCTCTGGCTGCGGGGGCACCCCGAAGGTTATGCCGGACTCGTACCGGCTAAAACCCCATGGTGGTCTCCATCAGCGTGTACGAGGGGTCCCGGGATCTCCGTTCGGAACGCAACCGAGGCCCCTCTCTCGCTTCGCTTTATTGGAAGCACGTCCCAGAGGCAGAACTTACTACCCCCAGCACCCTCGCAGTGCTATCGCGATGTCTCGGGACCACTTCCGAGCCATCGTCCTCCTCGGGGGTTACGTTACTAGGCATTCGAGGCTCCCGCTCCAAACGCCTGCAACCCCAGAAGCCCCATTTCTGGTAGGGGAACACCATTTTCAAAGGGAGGGCCGTGATGAACGCCTTGATGACGTCGTCTCCGAGTGGGATCTATCCTCTTCCGATCCCGCTCAGAAACCTCCTTCTGGACCATTACGGACTCACAGAAGGTGGTTACGGCCCGCCACGCCGTGTCCCCGCTCAACATCGCCGACACGACTGCTGGTTTGCCAGGATCATTCACTCCCGTTCCCACGCTGGACATACCGCCAGAGCATGGGATCCGGAGTCCTGATCCTGTCCACCGCAGTGGAAGCAGTTCACCGTCGCTTCGCGTCCGATCTTACACAGATAATCACCGAAGCACCCATGCCCGGTAGTTATCTGTGTAAGTCTGTAGGTGAGTCTTCCTACTCGTCGCTGCATCTAGGCTTCGAAGACCGGCAGGATTGCGCCAATAACACGTTGCGTGCATAGCGCTCCTCGTTAAGTCGAGTGCGCCACATCGCTAAAGCGTTCTGTCGCTCCTGCCGTTTTATAGACTCGAGCGCCTCATCTGGCTCACTGCCACCTCTCTGACGGAGGATACGGATTCGGTTGTACACCCTCGCATCCATATCCGCCAGTATATCTAGGGGTGGGAAGCGTGCCAGGACTGTTGCCGCCTCAAAAGATATCGTTCGGTATCCCCGCACGATCCGTATAGCCATCCTCCGCTGGACACTGTAGATTTTAGATCTACAGCGCCGGATGGCTAGCCTTTTCGCCCACACAGATGCCCCGTATAAGGCTACGGACCGTACTACCCCCCTATAGAGGCGGCGTATTTCCTCCCTCGGTCCCCCTAGATTGGACAGCCACCACCCTGTCAATCCGGGGGACTAGGCGCTCAAAGTGCTCTTCGAAGCCCCAGCGACTGTCTAGGTGGAACTAGGTACTTCATGTACCGTCCCACTCTGACTCTCTCACGTAGATGCACGAGTGGGGTGGTTCTCTGCTCCAAGGTAATTTGTGAAACCATAAGGCCTCGGTCTTATGAGGCGCTATTTCTAGACCCAACTCGTGGATTTTGGCGACGACGACTTCCGTCCCAAGCTCAGCGAGCTCCTTGGTCCCCTCGAAGGTGCCCCGCTGGCGACCACCAGTGTATCATCGGCATAGCACACGATATTTACGCCAGCAGAAAGGTCGACACGCAGAACCGCGTCCTACGCGAGGTTCCACAGTAGCGGACCCAGCACTGAGCCCTGCGGAACCCCACGTTTGATCTCCCTCCGTCAATCAAGCGCACGTCCAACTTGACAGCTAAAGATAAACCGAGTTAAAATGTCATACCTAAATAATGTCCTACCTCGTAGACAATTAAATGTGTCTCACAGCAGTAACGTGCATTTTTCTCAGTTAAACAAAATTTAAAAAAAAATAATTTTATGCAGAAGTAATGGTAAACAACGAACACACAGTCCACCAGATGCTATACTAGATTAAGAATCGAAATGCACATAATATGTTATCGCTTCTGAGAACTAAATTAGAATGCCTCGTTATCGGTAAGAGACGACCATGAGATATGACAAAAAGCTCTTGTAGTTTCCGACAGATGGCCATATTATCGTCTGGTTTATTACCAAACGTAAAACATATAATCCCACGGCGGAAAGTACTCTTTTATCGGTGATTCACCTGCCAAGCGTTATAATTAACTAGCTGTTCCCCGCAACTTTTCCCGCGTGCAATTTATTTGCACGGAACCCTGAACTAAAAGTAGCCTAGGCTACTTCCTATAACATCAGCTATCTGCCAGTGAGAGTCCCATCCAAATAGGTTCACAGGTTTATGCGTGATACGTGTTCAAAAAAATAGCTCGCAGATTACAAATTTTTTTCAGACTTACTTAATTACATTTATCGTAATATTTTGGCCAATTTACAAAATATTCTTATAAATTACAGCTAATATGTTACTCTGATATATGAGCTATATTATTGTAAAGTTTCATTAAAATCCATTAAGTACTTTTTGCGTGAAAGAGTAACAAACATCCATAAATCCTCACAAACATTTATAACATTAGTAGGATGGGACTAGTAGGATGAAATTGCTCCCTACAATGGCGGAGGCACATATCCTGATTTTTATAGGCTAAAAAGAAAAAAGACGTTTTTATCTAATAGGGTCATGCTGCAGCTATATTATGATTGCAGCACGAATAAGTCCACTCGACCAGGGAAGGAACACGCTCTCACAGAATACCAGTGTAAAATAGCAGCTTAACGCTGCTGTGTTTCGTATAGTGACTGTAGAGCATTGAAAACTCTTATTACTGCTAACAAGGCGGTGATAAGGCCGCTATCTTTTTTTTTATAGGATCAGGTGACAAACGAGCACACAGTCCACCTGATGGTAAGTGGTTGCTGTGGCCCATAGACATCTACATCTATCCTCAATAAAGACTCAAGATGCAGATGCGTTGTCACCCGTGAGGACTAAGATGGAATGCCTTTTTGCCAGTAAAAAGGGTCTCCGGTTCTCTACACTCACCATACGAAACACAGCAGCGTTAAGCTGCTATTTTACGCTGGTTTTCTGTGTCTTAATCTGACAATGCGTCTTCTCTCGTATGTTGATTCTTAATCAAAAATATATGTATCTGTGTGCCACAGTTTGTGTGCTTATTTGTCACCCTTTTTAAAAATATTCTTTACAAAATATTTTTTTTTATAGGTGAGGGGGCAAACGAGCATGCGGCTCACCTGATGGTAAGTGACTACCGCCGCCCATGAACAACTGCAACACCAGGGGAACCAGGGAAATTGCAGATGCGTTGTCGACCTTTTAAAAAGGAATAGGCTCTTATCTTGAAGGTCCCTAATATAATATATAATATTTAACTGAATTACTAAACTTTCTTCTAGATTTCCTGCAATCGCTTAGACGACTAAGGCCTACAACGGGACAAACAGGTAAGCATTATTTAGACATTAAAATATTAGGGTACTCTCCAAGCTATGTTCTACTAGAAGAGCATTAAGATGCGGAGTGAGAGGACGACACAGCATTCTGGAATTGAAATTTCACTTTCCGCCATCGGACAACCAGGTGGTCGGAGGGTCTTCATCCCTTTGTTGTCGATATTCCACGCATTGGAACCAAACGGTTTGCTTCGTCTTTTGTAATGCGTACAGCAAAGGAGTGTATTAAGTTGCCGGCGACTATCTTTCCGTCTGAATACAAACTGGGCTTTGTTACGCTAAGACAGTGCAATTTACCATCTAAGGCTGCATCACCATTCACAACCAGATGGGAATGTGGTCAAACACTGGCTTATAATATGTAAAAAAAAATTACATCATTGCATTTCGATATTTGACAATATAACCATATCGTTGACGTGATGCGTAAACACCCATACCGGCGACGGACAACAGCGTCAAAGATGCTCACGTCCGGTGCTGTGATCGTTAATCCATATGCCTAGAGTGAAGATTAAGGAATACCCACCCTATACTGTTACAGCTCATCCTGAGGTCCTCTGCTGAACATAAGCTTCCCCAATAGATTGTCTCTAACTATTTGCCATAGCGTTTGGCAGACGTGTTGGCAACTGTAATTTTTTATTTTTTTGTTATTAGGAAGACGCTGCTCCCATCTCCTGGTTTGTTTATCTCTGTCGCCTCTTACGACACCCACGGGACGATGTGGGGTAATGCATATTCTTACACTGCTCTACACAGTCCCTATAACGGTAGAAATCCATGTGCAGCCATGGATTTCTAGCCATCTTTATTCTTTAGCCATCCATGGATAGGATGATGAAGAAGAAGAAAAGAAAAAAAAACGCCTGATGTAATACCTCAAAACCGGCAACGGGAAGCGATATCAAAGCAAAACTACTGAGACTGGTGATTGCAAATGGTGAAATAACGTCAGAAAAGCCCACGATGATGACCTTTACGAATGTTTCGAAAACCACCAACTACGCAAGAAATACTCTAGTGATAATTTTGACGATATATCATCATTTACCTGTAAAAGTCCACACCTGAACATAACATGCCTCTACCACAGCTTAAAATAAAGCCACTTCGTTCTAGCCCACATTGAATATTTAATTGCTAATGAAGAAGCAATAAATGCATTCTAATAAATATACATGAATTAATTTCAGATATAATAAAAGCTTTATCATGCGTGGAACAAAATAATACTATGGAGACCCATAAGTCACCAGAAAACTCTTATTCGTGGCTGTCAAATGGATACTCAAATCAACAATCCACACAAGGAACCCAGAGATCACTAGGCCACAAAGTGACTCTAGAACAAATTTTACTAAAAAATCAACAAAAAAATCAGGTACTAGCTGATCAGATGGCACGATTAGCATCAACAAGTCAGTCAGGAATATCGGGAATGGGTACGAAACAAGCAATACCACAAGGTCGAGATATTTCAATGAATCGATCGGGGACAGATGCTCCAAATGACTCACATGATCAAACAGCTTCTGTACCAGATGAAACAAATAAAAAATTATCACAAGATCAAGAAACGCCAAAATTCCAATCGAATACAGTTGCTCCGAATGATTTTCCTAATCAAACTGCACAAGAATCCAATAATGGGCAAGGACCAATTCGTTCACAAGAGCAACCAAGAGGACAAGCACCAGGTGTACCTCAAGGCCTACCAGCAATATCAGAAACGTCAGAAATCACGAATGCAACTTTAATAAAAGGTCAAGATACTTTAACAAATCAATCGGAAATAGTTGCTCCGAATGGTTCTCCTGATGAAACCGCTACACAAGGAATAAATAGTTCACAGAATCAACCTACACTACAAGAACCCAATGATTTACAAGGACCAATTGACTCACAAGATCTACCAGGAGCACAAGAACCAGGTGGTCCTAAACGCCAACCAGGAACATCAGCAACATCAGACAAGACCAATCAAACACTACCACAAGTTGAAGATACTGATCAAAGTCTAATTGATCCGCAAGGTCAACCAGAAGTACAAGGACCAGGTGGCCCTCTAGGCCAGCAAGGTACATCAGGTACGTCAGATAAGTCGAAGCAACCACTACCACAAGTTCAAGATACTGCAACAGATCAATCAGAAACAGTTGCCCGGAATGGTTCTCCTGATCAAACCGCTACACAAGGAATAAATAGTACACAGAATCAATCCACACCGCAAGATCCCAATGATTCGCAAGGATCAATTGATTCACAAGGTCAACCGGAAATATTGGAAATGTCAGAAATCACGACTCAAACTTTAATACAAGCTCAAGATACTTTGACAAATCAATCGGGAATAGTTGCCCCGAATGGTTCTCCTGATCAAACCGCTTCACAAGGAATAAATAGTTCACAGAATCAACCTACACTACAAGAACCTAATGATTCACAAGGACCAATTGATTCACAAGATCAACCAGGAGAACAAGGACCAAGTAGTTCTCAAGGCCAACCAGGAACATCAGCAACATCACACAAGACCAATCAAACACTACCACAAGTTGAAGATACTGATCAAAGTCCAATTGATTCGCAAGGTCAACCAGAAGCACAAGGACCAGGTGGTCCTCTAGGCCAGCAAGGTACATCAGGTACGTCAGATAAGTCGAAGCAACCACTACCACAAGTTCAAGATACTGCAACAGATCAATCAGAAACAGTTGCCCGGAATGGTTCTCCTGATCAAACCGCTACACAAGGAATAAATAGTACACAGAATCAATCCACACCGCAAGATCCCAATGATTCGCAAGGATCAATTGATTCACAAGGTCAACCGGAAATATTGGAAATGTCAGAAATCACGACTCAAACTTTAATACAAGCTCAAGATACTTTGACAAATCAATCGGGAATAGTTGCCCCGAATGGTTCTCCTGATCAAACCGCTTCACAAGGAATAAATAGTTCACAGAATCAACCTACACTACAAGAACCTAATGATTCACAAGGACCAATTGATTCACAAGATCAACCAGGAGAACAAGGACCAAGTAGTTCTCAAGGCCAACCAGGAACATCAGCAACATCACACAAGACCAATCAAACACTACCACAAGTTGAAGATACTGATCAAAGTCCAATTGATTCGCAAGGTCAACCAGAAGCACAAGGACCAGGTGGTCCTCTAGGCCAGCAAGGTACATCAGATACATCAGATAAGCCGAAGCAACCACTACCACAACTTCCAGATACTGCAACAGATCAATCAGAAACAGTTGCCCGGAATGGTTCTCCTGATCAAACCGCTACACAAGGAATAAATAGTACACAGAATCAATCTACACCGCAAGATCCCAATGATTCGCAAGGATCAATTGATTCACAAGGTCAACCAGGAGCACAAGAACAAGGTGGTCCTCTAGGCCAGCAAGGTACATCAGCTACATCAGATAACACCAATCAAATATTACCACAAGTTGAAGATTCTGATCAAAGTACAATTGATTCGCAAGGTCAACCAGAAGCACAAGGACCAGGTGGTCCTCTAGGCCAGCAAGGTACATCAGGTACGTCAGATAAGTCGAAGCAACCACTACCACAAGTTCAAGATACTGCAACAGATCAATCAGAAACAGTTGCCCGGAATGGTGCTCCTGATCAAACCGCTACACAAGGAACAAATAGTACACAGAATCAATTCACACCGCAAGATCCCAATGATTCGCAAGAACCAATTCATTCACAAGGTGAACAGGAAATATTGGAAACGTCAGAAATCACGAATCAAACTTTAATACAAGGTCAAGATACTTTAACAAATCAATCGGAAATAGTTGCTCCGAATAGTTCTCCTGATCAAACTGCTACACAAGGAATAAATAGTTCACAGAATCAACCTACACTACAAGAACCCAATGATTCACAAGTACCAATTGATTCACAAGGTGAACAGGAAATATTGGAAACGTCAGAAATCACGAATCAAACTTTAATACAAGGTCAAGATACTTTAACAAATCAATCGGAAATAGTTGCTCCGAATAGTTCTCCTGATCAAACTGCTACACAAGGAATAAATAGTTCACAGAATCAACCTACACTACAAGAACCCAATGATTCACAAGTACCAATTGATTCACAAGATCTACCAGGAGCACAAGGACCAGGTAATCCTAAACGCCAACCAGGAACATCAGCAACATCAGATCAATCAGAAACAGTTGCCCGGAATGGTTCTCTTGATCAAACCGCTACACAAGGAATAAATAGTACACAGAATCAATCTACACCGCAAGATCCCAATGATTCGCAAGGATTAATTGATTCACAAGGTCTACCAGGAGCACAAGAACCAGGTGATCCTAAACGCCAACCAGGAACATCTGCAACGTCAGATAAGACCAATCAAACACTACCACAAGTTGAAGATACTGATCAAAGTCCAATTGATCCGCAAGGTCAACCAGAAGCACAAGGACCAGGTGTACCTCTAAGCCAGCAAGGTACATCAGGTACGTCAGATAAGTCGAAGCAACCACTACCACAACTTCAAAATACTGCAACAGATCAATCAGAAACAGTTGCCCGGAATGGTTCTCCTGATCAAATCGCTACACAAGGAATAAATGGTACACAAAATCAATCTACACCGCAAGATCCCAATGATTCGCAAGGACCAATTGATTCACAAGGTGAACCGGAAATATTGGAAACGTCAGAAATCACGAATCAAACTTTAATACAAGGTCAAGATACTTTAACAAATCAATCGGAAATAGTTGCTGCGAATGGTTCTCCTGATCAAACTGCTACACAAGGAATAAATAGTTCACAGAATCAACCTACACTACAAGAACGCAATGATTCACAAGGACCAATTGATTCACAAGATCTACCAGGAGCACAAGGACCAGGTGGTCCTAAACGCCAACCAGGAACATCTGCAACATCAGATAAGACCAATCAAACATTACCACAAGTTGAAGATACTGATCAAAGTCCAATTGATTCGCAAGGTCAACCAGAAGCACAAGGACCAGCTGGTCCTCTAGGCCAGCAAGGTACATCAGATACATCAGATAAGCCGAAGCAACCACTACCACAACTTCAAGATACTGCAACTAATCAATCAGAAACAGTTGCCCGGAATGGTTCTCCTGATCAAACCGCTACACAAGGAATAAATAGTACACATAATCAATATACACCGCAAGATCCCAATGATTCGCAAGGACCAATTGATTCACAAGGTCAACCAGGAGCACAAGGCGCAAGTGGTCCTAAACGTCAACCGGGAACATCAGCAACATCAGATAAGACCAATCAAACACTACCACAAGTTGAAGATACTGATCAAAGTCCAATTGATTCGCAAGGTCAACCAAAAGCACAAGGACCAGGTGGTCCTCTAGGCCAGAAAGGTACGTCAGGTACGTCAGATAAGTCGAAGCAACTACTACCACAAGTTCAAGATACTGCATCAGATCAATCAGAAACAGTTACCCGGAATGGTTCTCCTGATCAAACCGCTACACAAGGAATAAATAGTACACAGAATCAATCTACACCGCAAGATCCCAATAATTCGCAAGGATCAATTGATTCACAAGGTCAACCAGGAGCACAAGAACAAGATGGTCCTCTAGGCCAGCAAGGTACATCAGGTACGTCAGATAAGTCGAAGCATCCACGACCACAAGTTCAAGATAATGCAACAGATCAATCAGAAACAGTTGCCCAGAATGGTTCTCCTGATCAAACTGCTACACAAGGAATAAATAATTCACAGAATCAATCTACACCGCAAGATCCCAATGATTCGCAAGGACCAATTGATTCACAAGGTCAACCAGGAGCACAAGGAGCAAGTGGTCCTAAACGCCAACCAGGAACATCAGCAACATCAGATAAGACCAATCAAACATTACCACAAGTTGAAGATACTGATCAAAGTCCAATTGATTCGCAAGGTCAACCAGAAGCAAAAGGATCAGGTGGCCCTCTAGGCCAGCAAATTACATCAGGTATGTCAGATAAGTCGAAGCAACCACTACCACAACTTCAAGATACTGCAACAGATCAATCAGAAACAGTTGCCCAGAATGGTTCTCCTGATCAAACTGCTACACAAGGAATAAATAATTCACAGAATCAATCTACACCGCAAGATCCCAATGATTCGCAAGGACCAATTGATTCACAAGGTCAACCAGGAGCACAAGGAGCAAGTGGTCCTAAACGCCAACCAGGAACATCAGCAACATCAGATAAGACCAATCAAACCTTACCACAAGTTGAAGATACTGATCAAAGTCCAATTGATTCGCAAGGTCAACCAGAAGCACAAGGATCAGGTGGCCCTCTAGGCCAGCAAATTACATCAGGTATGTCAGATAAGTCGAAGCAACCACTACCACAACTTCAAGATACTGCAACAGATCAATCAGAAACAGTTGCCCGGAATGGTTCTCCTGATCAAACCGCTACACAAGGAATAAATAGTTCACAGAATCAACCTACACTACAGGAACCCAATGATTCACAAGGACCAATTGACTCACAAGATCTACCAGGAGCACAAGGACCAGGTGGTCCTAAACGCCAACCAGGAACATCAGCAACATCAGACAAGACCAATCAAACACTACCACAAGTTGAAGATACTGATCAAAGTCCAAATGATTCGCAAGGTCAACCAGAAGTACAAGGACCAGGTGGTCCTCTAGGCCAGCAAGGTTCATCAGATACGTCATATAAGTCGAATCAATCACTACCACAAGTTCAAGATATTGCAACAGATCAATCGGAAACAGTTGCTCCGAATGGTTCTCCCGATCAAACCGCTACACAAGGAATAAACAGTTCACAGAACCTACCTACAACACAAGAACCCAATGATTCACAAGGACCAATTGATTTACAAGATCAAACAGGAGAACAAGGACCAATTAGTTCTCAAGGCCAACCAGAAATATTGGAAACGTCAGAAATCACGAATCAAACTTTAATACAAGGTCAAGATACTTTAACAAATCAATCGGAACTAGTTGCCCCGCATGGTTCTCCTGATCAAACCGCTACACAAGGAACAAATAGTACACAGAATCATCCTACACCGCAAGATCCCAATGATCCGCAAGGACCAATTGATTCACAAGGTCAACCAGGAGCACAAGGAGCAAGTGGTTCTAAACGCCAACCAGGAACATCAGCAACATCAGATAACACCAATCAAACATTACTACAAGTTGAAGATACTGATCAAAGTCCAATTGATTCACAAGGTCAACCAGAAGCACAAGGATCAGGTGGCCCTCTAGGCCAACAAGGTACAACAGGAACGTTAGATACCACAAATCAACCATTACCTCAAGGTAATACTCCAACCGAAACGGCTACGCTAGGAACAAATAGTTCACAGAACCAACCACAAGTATCAAATTATAATCAAGGCCAACAGGGTAGTCGTGGGCAAAAAGGGTCACCAACAAATCTTTCATCACAACCGGTACAAAATTTACAATCGGTAGCTCCAAATCAACCGACAACAACAGCTACATCGAAAACTCCAGACCAGCCAGGAACATCGCAATCATCGGGAAATCCAAGTCAAAATGAGTCACCAGGACGAAGAGTTGTGCAACCTTTCGCAGCACCGCATCAACCAGGGCAAGGAGGCAAGCTGTCGAAGTATCAAGGCACACGAGGTAATTAATTGATCTTTAGGTTTTTAAAATATCAATATGTTTTATATTCTAACTGGTCATTGTCATCTTTTGAATTTCACAACAGAAAAAATTAAAGTTACAAGATATTAATTTGTCTAATCCAACACCGTTTTTATGAATTCCTGGTATTAATCTGTCCAAGATAACAATGTTTAAAAAGTAACTAAAACCGGCAAGGCGTCAGCTGAGGATAGAATTAAACGGTACTTTTGGAAGCGGTAATTTAAGTTAGTTTACAGTGGTATCACGCCGTATATGAAAAGCTGAAATATGTTTGAGGTTTTATGGCGCGTCTCCAAAGTTTTGTTGTCAACACAACATTTGCCAACACGTTTTGCCAACAAATGTTCTGTCAACAAGCGTCTCCACAACAAATGTCGGCAACAAGCGTATTCCTTTGATGTTGCCGCCGAAAATCGTAACAAGTTTTGTTGGCAAATGTTGACAACAAAACTTTGGTGGAGACGCTGATTTATGCTTCAGAAACCAGATAATCACTCGGAAATAGTCTATTTCTATCCATTTCCACCCATGACAGCATGAGGGAAATTTGCAACAGATTCCCCGCTTGACATGCACATTAGCAACCGAATTTCGAGTTGTTATCGGATAGATGCTGATCTGCTGCTTCAGTTTCCCTCCATCATCTCTTACGATATCCACGGGACTTAACGGGGTACAGTCGTCTACTGGAATGGTGAATGGTCTATTTAGAGATTTCTTAATATCCCTGAGTTATTCTTGCGTACTGCTTTAAGAAACCGAACTTACAGGGACCTGATGGTAAGATGTTACTGCAGCTCATAGAATCTGCAACTACTCAAATCATGAGGACTATATAGACTGTGTGGCAGTGGGACCTTTAAAGGCTATTTTTTATAGAATAATGGTAAAAACGAGCATACAGTCCACCTGATGGTAAAGGGATGCAGTGGCCCATAGAAATTTACATTTGTCCTAGATTAAGAATCAAAATGCAAATGCGTTGTCAGCCGTGAAGACTAAGATGGAATGCCTCGTTTCCAGCAAAAAGAGTCTCCTATTCTCTATACTCACCATACGAAACACGGCATCATTAAGCTGCTATTTTACGCTGGCATTCTTTTTTTTTTAATATAGAATGAGGGTGATTAACGATCACACAGTCCACCTGATGGTAAGCGGTTGCTGTGGCCCATAGACATCTACATCTATCTTCGAAATTAAAATGCAGATGCGTTGTCAGCCGTGAGGACTAAGATGGAATGCCTCGTTTCCAGCAAAAAGGGTCTCCTGTTCTCTACACTCACCATACGAAACACAGCAGTGTTAAGCTGCTGTTTTACGTTGGTATTCTGTGAGAGCGTGGTCCTACTCCGGTTGAGCCGATCCATTTGTGCTGCAACCATATCATAGATGCAGCGTGGCTCTACCACGTCAAAAATTATTACTTTAACTTACATGTTCATTTAACTTTTCAGAAATACAAAACGCTCTGAAGGCAGACGTCAATATTCACTTCATGTTACTACCGAAAGGCCCCAATAACACCAAGAACTGTTATTGTACGTGCGAGAGTCAAAATCCACCTAAGATTATTCCCATTAAAGATCTTCCACCGGAAATATCCGGATGATATATTCAAAAAGACAGAACTATATCGGGGCAAGCCAAGTAAACCAAAGAGTATATATTCGTTTTAATTTCTATAATCGTTAACGCGAACAGTTACAATCTCTATATAAAAAAAAATCAATTGTGGTCCGTTAGTCTCGTTAAAACTCGAAAATATCTCAACTGATTTTGATGAAATTTTTTGTTTGTGTTTGAGTTGGTGTGGTGGATGGTTTAGATTCACAATTGGACCCGGTAGGTGGCGCTGTGCGACGCCGGGACGGATAGCTAGTAATTAACAAAATCAACGTTTCATGTGACCAAAAAAAAAGCAATGATATGAACATTACTAATATTCCCGTCAACTACTTCAGATAAGTTTATAATGGTTGTTTTAGAAGTTGTTTATGATAGTAGTCGAACGGCAGATACGACCTTTTAGTTCCCGGTTATTGTAACAGTTAAGGGTGAAGACCCTTAACTTTTAGTTTTCGTTCGCGTATTGTTAATATTTTTTATACATTAATCTTATACTTTCTATAAGCGTTAACGATGATAGAAAGTCAACTTGGCTAACGCAGACCTAAGGTTGCCGCGTACGCATTGTTGTTTGTTGTCTTATCTTTATCAGAGTGAACGTGAGGCATACATATACAGGCGCCTCGCAACGCAAGCTTAAGAAAACTATCCTACTTACCTTTGTACAAACTGCCAAAATGTAACAATGAATATGGCAGGAGTGTGTGGGGACGCATTCTGCCTAACATTTTAAATAATTTCCCTATAGATCTAATAGCTAATCAAAGAAAAAAAAACCCATACAAGCTCCATTAACTTTATGAAGGATATAGTGTGTTCCCACACTTTCTTAGCCAGTGTACCTAACCAAATAATTTGACGTAATTTCCTATGTGTCCTATAAGTTTCCCACGCCTCAATTTAGTTTTCTCCATTTTTGGCTTTAAGGCCGATTTACACTTTGACAAGTACAGCAGCGAGTTAACTTGCGAACCTGGTTAGTTAAGTAGCAAATTAACAATTAAGTTGAACGGGATAGCCAGCTGGTCGCCAGCTGGTCTTTACGGCGAGTCAAGTTCGACATATTGCCCTCTCGCGCGTCTCCCACCACCCGCAACGCGAGTACATAAGTTGACAGGACGCAACGTGTTCGATCTTCGACTGTCAAAATATAAAATTGTGCTTTTTTAACTAAACTCGCCACGAAGACATTTGAACGCTGCTGCCCACTTAACCGTTTACTGTCAACTGCACTGTTACTAAACTCGTTACTGTACTTGTCGAAGTGTAAATCGGCCCTTATATCAACTCGAAATTTTGTACTAAAATTGTAACGAGTTTTGGTAGAAATGTTTTTTCTACTAAAACTGAAGTGACAAACAAACCACGTTCAACCTGCTGGTAAGACGTACGGTCTGTGGACACCTGCTACGGCAAGTGAGAAAAAAGATGAGTGAAAAAAAAAACATGAATCTGAGGTATAAGTTCATGTTTTGATTTCCCCTCGATTTCCCGCCTTTTACTACTTTTCCTTTTAGTTCCCTTCTAGAGTCGAAATTCCCCTCAAAAGAAGAACTTCCCCTCATTTCCTATATAGATTAAGGGTGACAAACGAGCACACAGTCCACCTGATTGTAAATGGTTGCTGCAGCCCACAGACCATCTACATCTATCCTCGATTACGAAACCAAAATGCAGATGCGTTTTCACACGTTAGGACTAAGATGGAATGCCTCATTTCCAGTAAAAAAGGGTCTCCGTTTCTCTACCATACGAAAAACAGCAGCATTCGCTGCTATTTTACTGTATTCTGTGAGAGCGTGGTCTTTCGGTCGGTCATTTGTGCTACAACTATACTACTAATATAGCTGCAGCATGGCTCTACCACGTTGAGGAAATACTGGCAGTACTAAATATGGCGTTAATAATAAAGAGTTAATAATAAAATAAATGTGTGCGTGCGTCGTCGATATAAATATAACGATATCTATAACTATAACAATCATAGAATTTATAAATATTATGCAAAAGTGTCTGCGAATCTAAGTATTTGAATAACTTGTAACAACTGATTTGTATACGTTCAAAATCGAAAGACGACTATTAATCACTATCAACATCGCAAAGTTTTCCTTTTATCGGAATTTGGAACGTATCTGAGTTTTGAGTTTTGTTTAATCCGGCTTATTAATCAGTAGTTTAAGCCGTCACAGATGGGCATCGCCTAAATGTAGATGCAGCCTTATCGTTGGAATTTATAATCTGTAGTTGTTTGTATCATTTGACATCTCATTGATTTCTTTTCTGTATTCTAGAATTTAATTGTCTGTATCATAATATACGAGTTTAAATAAATTACTTCCTTATTGCACTTGTTTTTTTTTATTTCAAACTGAACTGAACACTTATCATCATCATAGACCGATAAACATAACTGGACCTCACGTTTAGATTGTGTTAGTGTTCTGTGGACCTCAGTCAAAGATTGACGTAAAGCACAGCCCTGACTGAAGGTCCATCAACGACAGATCATTCCATATTCTTTATGTGTAAAAATGTATTAAATACCCTTTTTACTACTGACGAGGCATTCCATCTTGATCCTCAAGGGTTTTTATGCGAGAGGGGACAAACGAGCATACGGCTCTCCTGGTGTTAAGTGAATGGCATTTACTGAAGTGCGCACTAATTCAGTATACTTAGAAGATTAGAAGATTATACTTAGAAGATTCATAGAAGCACAGAAACCATTTTCTTATTGAATGTAATTCCTTATTTTGAAGAAAAATGCATCCAAAGGTGGCCGTGCTAGTCAAGCGCTTTTAGCTCCTGTGTAATTTTAAAAATACTTTATGTATCAAAAATATGCACTCTATTAACAAGATATGTGTACAACAGATATTGTGAGTTCGTAATCATTATCACCATCACCATCACAGCCCTTCACAAGTCCACTGCTGAACATAGGTCTCCCACAAGGATTGCCACAAACCACGGTGCTTGGCCCCCTGCATACAACGACTTCCTGCATGTCTTAGCAGGTCGTCACTCCATTTAGTGAGGGGACACCCTACACTTCGTCTACCGGTACGAGGCTTCGGGTTGGATTTAGAATCGTTTGGCACGAATTTGGCGGAGTAAGGTGTTTTATTTGGTAGAGATTTGGTCCCCGATAATAATAATACCACTCACATTAAAAGGTAATGCACCGTTATCGAAAAAAATAAATAAAAACGATTATAACCTAAAATGCGTAAAACATGGAAAAATTACTGTGAAATCTGGATTTTCATTATTTTTATTCATTACTGTGGAATCAGAATTTTGTGTATAGTGCCACCAACTTATCTGTGAACTGACAGCTTGGCGCTTCTGCGCTGAAGTGTTGCCAGTTCGGGAATATTCCCATCTAAGGGTCTTATATTCCTACATAGAGTCCACATACTAGGGTAATAAATTAGTCACGGAATAAAAAGACTAGAACACAGATTTAACAGATATATGTCCAAGAACACGAAGAAACAAAAATATCATAATTAAACAATTTAAACTTTAATTAAATGATATGTCTTTATGCCTTTTTTACCGGGCGTTATAATTTGCGTTCCTGTGGTTTATGCGGTTTCCGGTTCTATAACTATTTTGGAAATGAATCCTTGACTAGCATCTGAAAAAGAAATGAATTGCATTAACCAATCCATTTATCGGAAATACGAAAGGAAGGAACAAAACATAGCAATACTGGTCAGTGTTGCTATGTTCTGTTCCTTCTTGTAGCAGCTGATACTCTTTTATAGACCTGATTGAAAGACATTATCGGTGCTTACGCTCGAGCTTCTTGCTCACAAAAGTTTAATACTTATAAAATAATGTTTCGGGCATCACTTTTAATGGTTTTCGGCATTTTTTATTTTTCTATAAGCTCTCAAAACAATGACGTATCGAGTGACATTTGATTAAATGGCGGCTGTAGTTCACAATTTTGCCGCAGCTGTCAGTTCACAGATAAGTTGGTGGGACTATAAGTGCGACAAGGACGTAAGACTAGTGTCACATTATTCTACTGTCTATACTCTCTGTCAAGAGATATTTCGGTAAAGACAACTGTAATAATAGAGAAAATTTTACCGACTTGATATATGAATATTTGTGGAGAAGAGAAATCACAAGGAATAAAAGAGATCCTTTTGAGCAATTAATGAAAAAACATATGTTTACAGACTATGAAGAAATGATTATAATATACTGTTTTATTTCTGAATTGTTTCAAGAATTGAAAATCAAGAAAATAACTTAATTACTACTGTGAGATGTTTGATTTTTTTTATTTTTATGTTGATTGATATTAAACTATATGTAATATTAAATAACTATTAACGTGCAATTATAAAATGAAGTTAATGAGATATTTGATTTGTTTAGGATAAAAGCTTTTACAAAAATTTACTTCGCAAATATCCGCGTTATAAAATAAAATGATGTGTCTTACCTAGTATGAAGAAGCACCTCCCGCCCTCCCTCAATTGCGTGCACTATCCCCGTCACCACTAATCCCAGCACCGCTACTTCCAACACCACTACACTAGGCAAGACACACCACTGACGATAATACGACACGTGTTTCGCCTCTACACGAGGCATCCTCAGGTGATATAGACTCTACGGTGGCTAACCGCTAAGTGAGCGGCGAGCCAAAACAAGTGCCTTTTATACAAACCGATGATGCAACCGCTCTCTACCTAAGGAGCGAGCGATTGCGTCATGCGATAAAACATGCGACCAATCACCGCTGGACTTACGCAGCCGTTTGTAAAATTAAAAACAAACCGCCGCGCAACGCCCACATTATTAGAGAGCAGGCTTGAAGATATTTAAGAGAGGTGAGTTAGTAACATTTGTTTGTTCATTCAGCAATGCAACGGTATTATTATTACTTTTTAATATCTCTAACTGTTCCAGCACACACAGCCGCAGCCCTTTATTACACGTATGTAAGACTTTAAA